ATTCCTAAATGTGTTACCTCTGGATATCATGGGTGGTTTTTTTTTTTTTAGGTTCAGGAGCGGTTTGTGGCTGATGGAAATGACCGGCTGAAGTTGGTGGTGTTACTGTGTGGTGAGGATGATGAGAAAGTCCAGGTTGCAGCGGCAGGAGCCCTGGCCATGCTTACAGCAGCACAAAAGAAACTCTGCTCTAAGATGACTGAAGTGGTAAGACCATAAGTCTGATTATTGGCAGTGTAGATATACCCTTGAAGGGGCCTGGCTCAGTCGTAAAAATGCCTCTCAAAAGGAAAATGTAGTCCACCAGTTTGGTAATAAGGAGCTTAGTGGTGAAGCTGAGACCTTGGGTGTGCACGCTGCTATCCATCCCTGCACAAAGTAAACCAGCCTGCCTTATACTAGACTTCATCTCGGAGCGGAAACATTTTTATATAGCTATTCCTAAAGCTAAGTCCAGAATGCTGTCAAGCAAGGCTAGGAATGCAGAATACTATTCTATAGGCCCTTAAAGCTTTTGATAAATAACCTGAAATCCAAACCTTGTTTCACTCAGAAATGAGAAGAGCTTAATAGACAACCTATTGAGCTTTACAGATCCCAAAACATCTCCATTTCCTGCACAGATCTGTATGTCCTGAGAATCGGACCCTGCGTAGCTGAATATCTGTGAAGACCTGTGGTTGAGAACTCGTGAACCCTGTTGTGTCACACACACGCTGGTGTTGGACACTGGGGCTTGTTAGAATAAAAATGATTAATCAAGCCAAAGGAGGGGCTCAGGAAAATCAGTAGGGGAGTGGGTGGTCTGCTGCTGGTCATCTCAGCTGTGTCAATATTCTGATTAGATTCTTTGCAGAGAGATTATGCAGCAGCCTAAACATGAAACGTGTTTCGTGTGGTGCTAGTACCATGAAAGCTTCTGACTTTAGCGTAACAAAAATTTGGGTTCAAAAGTTTGGAGTCAGGTTTCCTTAAAGAATCAAATAACCGTACCTGACATGAGAACTGACCAGGTGAGTCCCTGCGCTTCCTTCTGCTGAGAAATGCCTTGCCAATCTCGCATTCTTGGTTGAGGTATTCTTCAGATCAATACTAATGATCTCTCTCTCCCTTGAAGACCACCCAGTGGCTGGAAATCCTGCAGAGGCTCTGCTTGCATGATAACGTGGAAGTGCAGCACCGAGGACTGGTCATCGCTTTCAACTTAATCGGTGCTGACAAAGAGCTAGCGAAGAAGCTGGTGGAGACAGAGTTCCTAGAGATTCTAACATACATTGGCAAGCAAGAAGATGACCCCAAGAAGCAACACATCATTAATGTAGCACGTGATTGCCTCGCAAGGTGCATGGATTATGGGCTGATCAAACCTCTCTCTCAGGAATGAGGAAATGAAAAGCACCAAAAAAGGCTGAGTAGGGGGGGAAAAGCTACTGAGGAATGTGGAAAAGTGAGAGCCATGAGGAAAATCTAATGCCATTGTCAAGGCACGGAATAGCTTGGGGACAACTTTGGAGGATCAGAAACTGTATGAGAAAAAGGGGGGCATTTGCCTGGGAAACTTGGAAAATGTCCCTCTGAGTAATTCCCAGATGGTGTAAACCCTTTCTTTGCCCCCATTCAGCTGATAATGATGAAAGCTTCAAGGCCCAGCTGTAAAAGAGTCTGTGTTGGAAGTGTGCCGGGGGCTGTTGGAAGGAAAGTCAACTGAGATGAAATCTGTTCTGCAGCCATCTACAGCTCCTTGTACTTCTGGAATTCCTAGCAATGGTGGAACAGAGAGGGTTAAATGCCTTCTGTTCTGTAGTCAGAAAATAGGTTGGATTTTAGCTGTGTGCTTTTTTGTTCATTTATGGTATTTTTAAACAGCCTTAAGTGGTGTGCTGAAGTGTGAGAATGGTGGATGAATTTTTAATAAATTCACTACTTTGTTCCATGTGGAATTCGTGTTCTGCTTGTATTAAGCAAAGGGCGAATCTATGGCAACTCCCACTTGCAGCTTTGCATCATACCCAGGAAGCTGGAGTAATCGGTAGGACAGGCTGGATTTTCACCACTTGCAAACTATCCAGTGCTGCTCAAATGCATGTGCAAAGTCACCATGAAAGGCTGTACGGGGAGGTGGCACTAATGGGTTAAGCTGAGGTTCACAGCAGGGCACAGTGTTTGGCTCAACAGGAGATGTTGCAAATCTCTCATGTATGGAAGGAGCAGAATAAGAAGCAAACACACCAGTTGGTCATCACAATAAACTTTATATAAGTGTTTACATTCACATGATAGGCATGGCATGATTAAGTGTTGAGGTTTGGGGGTTATGAAAGGAACCATGGGGATAGTCTTTCCTTGTATGTTGATTAAGGAAAAAAAAATGGAAAGTGCCTCTAGCTTCCTGAAGTGAGAAAAGCAAGAATTTGTAAGGTAATAGGTTTGACAGCCTAAAGGCAAATTTTAAAGGCAACTTTATTTGGAGGGTGATTCTAGCTGTGTACAGTGTCTTCTCCTTATTGTAACCACATTCACTAAAATCACTGGTGCTTTATAATCACACTAGGAGGATATCAGACTGTTCTTCCAAACCAAATGAACCACAATATGGTTTGTTTTCACCAGCCTTCAATTTTGGATACCTAGTTTTAGGAATTTTGGATCTGTCTTTCAAAAGTACTTTGCATTTAACTCTATACAGAGAGTTTTATCTAAGCCGCATGTCTGAAACCGAGACAAAAAATGCCATTGGTATCTAAGGGCAGTTATGCCAAGTTTTCTTTCTCCCTCTAAAGCTACTCTTTGGAGCAACTGGGTTCTTCTAACCCATACTGACTGTTGTTGAAATTGAGCGGGGAAGCTACTTCTGTAAAAGCTATTTACTTGTATTTCTTAGCTAAAACATGGACAGAAGGACCCATTTTTGCTTTCCTAGATATCTGAATAGAGGCTGATTTTTAAAAAAATGGCTTCTAACACTGGATGCCTATGCTGTTTGGTAACTTTTCTGAGCAGTACTATGAGTATGGGAGTGAGCTGGTGAAAGCCAGAAAGTCTTCCAGTTTCCTGTCTTGGCATAGTGGCTTTCACTTGGCAATGCACCTGCGTGCAGTCAAAGGCTGAGCATCAGGTTTTGCAAGTCCTTGAAAGGAGCCTTCAGGGAATTATGTAATTCTACTGACGAAGTATCTCTTTTCTCTGCGTTGTTGAAACCTTACTTTTGATGTATGTCGTGGTTTAACCCCAGCCGGCAATTCAGCCCCACACAGCCGCTCACTCCCCCCTGGA